TACCTTTACAACACTTTCAGATCCACTCGAGCTGACAATTGCACTGCATGATTCCCTTCTGGGAAGATTCGACGCTAGAAGCGATGCAGAAACATGGGAGAATGGTCAACCAGAGTCTATCCCATGGAACGGAGAGGTCTCGTTGGAAGAAGTTACAGCGTCAACCATCGAAAGTAAAGAAACGGCTCCGGGACATGACAAAATCACCGCTCAACTCCTCAAGGCTTGCTGGAGTACAATTGGAACATATGTCAGGGACCTCTTCCAGGCTTATTTGAACTTGGGGTACTTTCCTACGCCATTTAAAGTAGCTAAAGTTGTACTTCTTCCCAAAAATGGACGTGATCTCTCCAGCCCAAAAGGATAGCGTCCCATATTGCTACTCTCCAGCTTGGGCAAGGGAGTGGAAAGGCTTATAGCTAAACGTATGTCCTGGCTTGTGTCACGGTTTCAGTGCAAAATGCTTGTGCGATCTTGTAAGTACAGTATATTAATTATAATTCTCTAGAGAGAGAATTCCTATAGCTAGAATACAAATATATATACTCTGAGATACTCCTCTTCTGTAAGGTTCTCCCTATATCTAGAATAACATGGAATCCTCGACAATACCCTAGAAGATTTTTGATACACCTGTTGTCCTCATGAACCTTTGGTATGCTTCCAGAAGGTTCATTGAGAATCTTCTTAGCTCTTTGTATTCCGAGATCCTTCCCGAAGATTCCCTTGCATTCATTGCCTGCGCTAGCCAGCGTAGGCTACAGGAATTCCTAGGCCTAACAGCCGTTACAGCTTGCAATAAAGTACAAGGCAGTACCTTCCCAACTATTCGGCGCGCTACCAGGACGCTCAGCAGTCGACCTGGTATTGTGTGACACACACAATGCAGAAGCTACAATGAGATCCAACAAAGTCACAGCTATGGTCACGCTCGACATTCAAGGTGCCTTCGATGCAGTACTATACAATCGGCTGCTCGCACGAATGCGAAGTCAGGGCTGGCCATTATCACTCTTTTGCTGGGTAGAATCGTATCTTAAAAGACGAAAAGTCCTGGTAAGACATGAAGAAGGCGTTACAGATGAGAATCTTGTTGAGTGCGGTGTCCCGCAAGGATCACCACTTTTGCCACTTCTATTCATGTTATACATCTCAATTCTACTCGAGGATGGCACAACCAACTATAGACTCGGATATGCAGACGGCATCGCGATTGTCCGAGTTGGTAAAAGTCCTTCTGAAACTGTTGAGGCTGCCCAGGTTGAAGTAGACAGGATAGTCCAGGTAGCTTTGTTACACGGGAATAAGTTCGACCCTTCGAAGTCTGAGCTCCCGGTCATCGGGGGAGGACCGAAGAAGAAACTCGACTCATCCAACTTAACGGTTAGAGTTGAGGAATAGCTTATTATGTCTTCTCCGCATATCCGATGGCTCGGAATTTGGCTTGATTATCAACTATCATCCAGACGGCACGTTCAGGAATGGTGTACAAGGCACAGCGACTATCACACTTCATACGCAGCATAAACAGGGTTCATCGAAGTGCGGCTTCGGGGCCAGTAATTCATGCGCTGAATTCATGTGTAGTGAGCACGGCAATCTATGGCGCTGAAGCCTTGTAGTCTGGACTGACCCGTATCACGACCAAACGAGACAAGAAAGTAAGTACGGGTGTCGGATGGCACATCTAGCTACTAGATAGGACAATCTTGACTGCAATTCGAGTTGCACTACCAGAGTGGCGGACCACACCAAATATAGTTCTACACCGAGAATTAGGGATCTTACCTGCAGAAATAATGCTTCAGCAGCGACAGTTCTGAAGTGCGGCCAGAATTCGCGGACTCGATAGCTATCATCCACTCGCGTCAAGGGAAGTTGAGACACCCAAAGAGGCAACTAAGCGACTCCAACTGCGAGAGGGGCAGAAAAGGGGTGCATTTAGGGTTTCAGAGCGATACCTAACACGACTTCAAAATGAGAACCCCAACCTAGCAGAATCAGAAGGTCTCGGGCAGCTTTATAAACCGCGGATCTCAATTGATACAGCCGGGGTCAAATGCGACAAGGAGGAAAAGGCGAAGCAGATTAAGTTGTGACTTAGAAATCTTCCCGCAAGCACGCTGTGCATCTACTCTGATAGGGCATCTACCGGCCCAGCATACTCAGCCTATAGCTTCGTGTTATAATTAAGGTATGAGTAGGTATGAGATGTTGAATATTCTAGGGATAGTGCAGAGGGTGGATAACGATTATCAGAGCTTGACAATATGATGAATAGCTTGGTTATATTATTCTACATATCACAGTAGTAGATAGGACTTATATACACATATTTGGCACCCGCGATACAGTACATCACCGTCTATGCATGAAGTACTACAATCTTAATTCCAAGCAATACTATCCCACATTACTCTATGCCATTGTATAGAGCTGCGCCTCAATAGTCGATCGTAATAATAGCCATGTAGGGCTGTGCAGTACTCGCATAGATGTGTTGTATCCCTGGCACTTGGCAGAGATAAATTTAGAGTAAATGCAATAATCACATCACAACACTTCGCCATATATAGGGATAGAGAACTCATAGCAAGTGGTGGTAATTTCCTTCCTGGAGCTGAGATTTTTCATGCAGAAATTGTTGGGGTAGTTCGAGGTCTAGAGGCGGCATTAAAAATTGAAGGGAGTATAGACATCAAGGTACTCCTCGACAATCATGAGGCGATTAGAGCCCTTGCAACTGGTGGAACAAATTCCTCTCAAGTAGAGGGAAGGGAATTTACCGAGACCTAAGATCATCTGGGAGGAAGCTCACGAAGTCTTGACATTTGCAGCTATCAAGTGCCAGGTCACAATCCGCGTACAGAAACTGGCGGAAGATTGGTGGCATAAGAACAAAACGGATAGGTATGAATATCTGGACCTACCGATGCGAAGAAAACGCCCTCCGGAGCTGGCTCTACCTCGATGGGCATATGACCGCCTCATCGCAGCAAGGACTGGGCATGGTGACTTCGCCGGTTATCACAGATGGTTCCAACACCAGAATGTAGAAATGCTTTGCAAATGCGGCCGAGAAAAATGTCCATGGCATGTTGCAGGACGTAGCCTGGCTATTCAGAAATGGCGGACGGAAACGAAGGAACTACGTCCCATGATAAGGGATATGATAGGGCAAGAAGGATGGCAGAAATTCTGGCGCTTTTTAACTGTATCAAAATGTTACAGCAAGAATGAATCATAAACAGGGGGTTAAAAGATCAACTGTAATGCTTCTTGGGACCGATTGGCGTGGTACGAGAATTAAGGTGTAGTGCAGGGCATTAGCACCTTAAAAATGATGATTTAATTTGTTATTTTTGTTTTGCGTTCCTAGTTTCTATGAAATAAAAATATAGGTGTAAAACTTAGAGGGGCTTCGTGTAAATGTCACGTGAATCGTCAAGAATGTAAGAGTAAAGGTATAGAATTATCTACTACTACGAGTCGAGCCTAGGACTATATTGTGTGAGTATCCCCTTGTGCGCTCCCTTGAGTATTGCCAGTAGCCAAACATCTGTGCGCGTAGATCTTACTTTCGCTTTTGGACTGGCGCGAAAACCCAGACTAACATAGGTCTGCTTACAATAGGTAGCGAAGAGTCCTATAGATCAAGACTACCCGTGCTATGCCCTCTGGGTGCTGGGGCAGTACCCGGTCACGATAATAATAATATCATATCTTGTAACTCTGTCATGTTAAAGTGCAGTAATAATTATGTTTGACCAGCGCTCTTACAATTCAACACTTATGACAAAATGTTATAGACTATTGCCATGCAGATAGGATCCGGAGTTTATCCGGCTCCTGGGAGTTGATTATGTCAGCGATAAGCGAGACAACATCTAGGGGGTATCCCACAAATATGTAATTTTTCTCTTTAGACACAAAATAAACCCATTTTGGAAACACTCGTGCGGACAGCTATTCACTCTGGTCCCATCCTTTCACACAAAATACCTTGTTTCCTAATCAGTCCTGGCTCGTTCATCCATGACCTAGCCTTAGATGCCTTAGGCCCGAGCCTATAATAGTCATCACTACATTGCCTTTGGCAGACAGTTATCTTCAGTATCATTTGCGCACACCGTAACATTAGCTATGGTAAAAGAGTAACTGAGACAGCAAGAGACCAAATGCTGACGTGCAAGTACAGCACAAACATGTCACGGAGTGGAGGGCAGGTGCTGGAGCAACTGTGTGGTTGATGGTGGTAGATAATAATTCTAAGGAGAGAACTATTACAGGATCTATCTACATATGTATGTATACAAAAGAGCCTTATAATATACGACGTCATTGCACTATCAATTGAAGAGGTTGTGACCGATCTCGTATATTCCCAGCCGATGGCTTCTCACCAACAAGTTGTATAGTGTTGAGCTGCACTGTTGAATTGGATGCTATTAGATTCCGATGCTCAGATATTAGATCGATTGATTGTGCGCACATTATATCGGACCAAGCCTATGTTAGCCAACATAAGCTGAAGGAACCAGCCGGCTTATCAGCCGTCACAACACGTCATCTCACCTAGGGGCCAGGATGAAGCTAGGCACCATGTTAAACACCATATCTCAAATAAGTTGCGTAAAAGATACCGCAAGCTAAATTCTACAATTATGCTTATTCTCCTATCTCTGCGCTAATCTTGAAGTTATGTATTGATTTTTTTAAATCAAGGAAATCTTGAACATGATTTTGAGGGATACCAATAGAGCTCCTCGAGACACACAAAAAGTTTACTTGCCTCTAGATTTGTAGCTCAATCTCAGCTTGAGATGAGGTTTTAAAATTTACTCCGATAATAGACAGTATCACAGTTCATTCTAAGGGTCGAATTCTCGATCACATAATAAAAGAATTGACTAAGAGCTTTATTGGACACGCCTATTAAAAGATTGTGATGAACCTAGCTGACTCTTTATTCCTAATTTGGACACACAACAAAGTCTAGATTAAGTCGTTCCAATAGTCTTGATTCTCTTTAATGCCATCTCGGAATTTTTCAATCCTTCCTTAAACCCAATTTTTTTCGCCAGATAAGCAGCTTGCTTGTAATGATTCTCCGCCCCCTTATAATCACCTCTCATTTCTGAAAACTCGCCCAAATTGTGTGTTGCTACTGCGCAACCAGTATCACATTCTTCATTTCTTTCTGGGGGCTGTATTTTATTGGCAAGTGAGACTGCTTTTTCCGCCCAAGCGGTGGCATTTGAGATAAGAGCTTCCCGAGTGGTAGGCCCTTCGGGGAAGTTACTAGGCGGTGATTGTTGAGCGAGGGATGTGGATAGGTTGTTCATTAGAATGACTGTATGGCAGCTCTTAGGTGGCGAAAGGTTAAGGGCTTGTAAAAAGAGAGGAGCAGAGAGGTAATGCCTATTTTTTTCCTCATGCATGTGTGCGAGTGCTGGTTAAATTGTTTAGTATCCATACAGAATTTGGAATGGAGAGAAGGTTTACTTTCAAACTGGGCGCCGATTTGATCTTCATCGAACCACGGTCCCTCGTCCTCTACTATTCCCACCCTTTCACGTCTCTCTTGCTCATTTAGGGTTTGCTCAACGGCCCAGGTCACTCTCTCTTCGGCAAGTTCTGGTTCTAGTACAAACTGATTACCGTAAAGGTCTCCCAATTTCACGGAGATCTGTACTGTTTTCTGTAAGACTTTATTCCTCTTTCCGAGCCATCCTTCCTTAAACCCAACAACATCAAGCCATTTTAGATTATCGTTACGAATTGCCTCGAGTACTTCAATTGCTTTGTGATATTTCTGACACTTTTCGAACAGTAGCGCGATCTGAACCTTTATGCCAATAGTTTCATCTGAAAACCTATCGAGTCCATGTTCTTCTGCTAACCGAAGGGCTTCCTTATAGTACTTGATAGCAAGGCTAGGAGTTAGCTCGATGTTGGTGTAATATAATGCCTTGCGAAGCTGCTTTGCAACTGGTTCAGGGAACTTCACAAATGCTCCAATAATATAATCGGCGTAATATTTATTGCTCCATAGAAGTATTCCAGATGATATTACCATTCTCAGTGAAATTAGCCAAAGATAAAGGCTGAAAGACACGATTCACATACAGTATGAGTGCTGTGGGCATTAAAATCGGCGAACTTTTGAAGAGAATTTTAAATGATTCCCAAGCATTTCTACCGGGCCATTTACTATTGCGGGAGTTGTATCGATGCTGACTGCTTGGACGGGATGGAGATGGTAGAGCGCATTTTGGAAAGCGCAGAGTTTCTGTGTACTGAGCCTTGATGGCTAATGGGAACGGTCGCGTCAGAATTTTGAAGCGTCTGCTCAGCATGATCGTGGATTTTCTACGTAGCCGTGAATCCGATACCGCTAGGCATAGATTCGTTCCATATTGCATTGCCCGGCCCGATAGAATTAGATAAAGCTACGCCCGATTGTTATATTGGAACGCCAAGACCATCTTTGAGATCATTAGTTCACGACTTCAAACATGGCGACACATCACAAGTGGACAACTACGATTAAGCGAAATATCTTGTAGTATCTTGAAGCTTTCATCAACTAGACACAATGTCAGGAAAATTTGAACCTCGCACCCCCACGACTCTTCAGCCCCCTAAAGATGACCCTATAACTCTCGATGAGCTTCGAAGAGCAGACGGCCAGTCCAGCTCCCTGCACCTAGCTTCCATAACTGATGGTCGAATAGGTGTGCAGAGTAATCATTGCTATGTGGCAATCAAGGGCAAAGTCTTTGATGTGTCTGGAAATAAAGCCTATCTCCCCGGTGGATCTTACCATGTTTTTGCAGGGCGGGATGCATCGCGTGCCCTAGCTCTTACCAGTGTCAAAATCGAAGACGTTCGACCTGAATGGGAGGATCTAGATGCAAAAGAAAAAAAGACACTTGACGATTGGATGATATTTTTCAGCAAACGATATAATGTAGTAGGAACTGTCACCGCTGAGGGGTCCAAGGTATAGGGATAGGACGGGATTTATCAGCAGATTATGAAATTTTCAATATTTATTTCAATTACGACTAGTTTTGTGTTATTGTCTTATTTCTAGAAGATTACGAAGATTACTTGTAAAATTTGGAACAAAACTGCCTGAAGTAGGGACCATGACCAAGACTCTGTATGATAGGTGGGGTAACTAGTTTTCAAGTTGATGCACGGACACAACATGATCACCGAATCCACTTACTAATGATCAGGTTGCATTATTCTATGCAGTCCGGGCTTGTCTCAAATAGATCCTGGCCAGCCTGATCACCCAATAAACTAGAGAATGGAGAGCGTTGTTTCTCAACATTCGAAGCCTGTCCATATTTCGCATTTTTCCCAGATGCGAGGAGAGATCATAGACAAGCTACGTTGATCAAAAAAATTTCAGTCTCTTCTTTCAGATGTTGACTCGATTGAGGGGAGGATGGGGGCTTCATTTGAAAAAGTCTTGGGAACGTCATCTTTTTTTTTTTTTTAAATCATTTAATGTGTATTCAGCTATCTAGCTATGACACATGACCAGTGCTATGTATACATGTGGGATGACTCTTTTGGCGTTAGAGACACTCTTACTCTGGATTTCATTCGCAAATACCACTATGAGGTATGTTCGCTTACACAAACAGTCAACCCTCCTCCGTAAGTACCCACCAAAGGGACGTTTCAAAACCTTTGGTTATCCAAGCATGCCTCCGTCATCCATGCATACCAGCGCCACGGGAAATGTGGTTGTGTTTTGCCGTATTTGAACCAGCGATCTACTGTCTCAAGTGGGATATGTGTCCAAGCTATCCAGACTCTACTTTGCAGACCGGCCAAGACGATGTACCACCGCACCATCCAACCATGGCCCTGTTTAAAGTGTCGCCCGCACTCTCGCAAGCGAAGTCTTGGCACGCACAAAGCTCAATTCGTAAAAACTCCTTGCCAAAATTCGGAATATCATGCCCGTCGAGACTGTACCCATCCTTTGCATCATCTTATCAACCTGTACTGATCCTCTCAAGTCACTCCTAAAGAACAGTCTCCCAGATTTGTGCACCACGCTTTGCTTCCTCCGTCGGGTGTAAATATAGGCGTGGGCGTGTATTTGGCGACCAGCTGAGGCCAGAGAAAGTCGATAGGAGGTGTAGTCATTGGAATGAGGATGTACTAGGTCGTACTTGTAGACTTGATGAGGCTCAGGTAGGATTTGATCTCTTTTGGAGTGAAAATTTGACGTGGCGGAGTAATTTGAATCATTGCCTCGTGGGCCAACTTGATCGGTATTGCGAAATTTGACTGAGCTTGGCTCTGGGAGAATATTATACTCACGGGGAACGTCATCATCGAACGCAACTCCGTGCCGAAGTAGCTTGCAGTGTAAAAATCACAAATTTGAGACGGATATTGTTTCTATACATACATCTACTTTTGTTGCGCATAACTAGGTTTAGAGGGCAACTATGCCTGAAGCCTGACGAGTATCATACGAACAGGTGACGTTATAATCCGTTTGCGCAGTTAGAGCGCCATCCCAGAATTAGAAACATGCATACTATCTAGAATCTCCAGAGTTTGCTTTATTTTGACTCGTTGAGTGAGATTCGGTTGACCTAGTTTTAAGTAGTATTTTCTCATCGCTGTATCATTTTTAAGCCGTCGCTTCTAGAGGCTAAAGAATTTTTCAAGTCACATATCCCCATAACTTTGAAATTTAATGTTCTATTCTGTTTTGTTTATTTACGTGCTGGATACATGTCACCTATCGCACTCCTGCTGGAGCTTAAGCAAGAGTTGGGCCGAGCCGGATCAGGTTAACTACCGCGAAGTACAGATATACCTCGTCCCACCTAAATGACCAGACCACCTCAGACTTCACCTATGTGTTGAATCACACCAAGTCTGACCGTCCAGAAACCCGCTGCATACCCCATAGTAGCGTGAATTCCTCCTCAGCCTCGGCCACCACGCGCTCGAACCCTTGACATCCTCATTGACTCCGAAATATAAATGTAGTCCAAGATCTCATTGTTGCTCTAGCCTTGCACCTTCATATCGTACCGTTGGGTTGTTGTCGTCATTGGGTATTTGTTAGACACTGAGGGTCAAATGAAAAATGTAAAGTAAAGTTGTATTGATGAAATCTCTGCTCCTCAACTCCTCTCCAGCAGTGATGCTATTTACCCACCTGAAAATATTTCACGGAGAGATTATCTTTTCGTTTCCCAAAATTACATATGAAATATACTACATGTGTTGAAGATCAAAAGATCTCAAGTTGGAGATTTGACTATCCTGAATATCCCGAACATCCTGATCACCATATCCCTGGTGAAATATCAAAGCTCGAGTAAGTTAATCCGGGAAGATATGTCATCTCAATATCTAATGATTCTCATTACCTTATTCAGTAGGTTCTAAGCTATCAGATGTTTGACAGTATTTGTGTAATTCCCTCGGTGTATCTTCCCTTTTCTTCATCCTTTATACACGTTCTGTTCTCATCATGACTTTCCTCATTAGGGCGTGTGTAGGTAGGTGACATGACGAGTATAAAGATGGGTCGCAGGTGAAGACCTGACTGAGAAATGTTTCGTCGCAAATATGAAAGAAGTTTTAGAGAAGTAATTTGTTTGAATACGAGCTCTAGACAGACCTAGGCCTATTTGTGAATCGTATTTTGGTGGTAATGAGATTTTGTTTGCCTTTCTTGCGGTTGTGAAATCATTGTGACTGATTTTTCGGCCACATTATCGAGTACAACTCCTTCAAGCCGACAATTCATCAAATAAAATTCATCCCACCCTAATTCGTGACTGAATCTCGGCTCTGGGAGAATATTTCACTCCCAGGTTTGTGGAGGGCACCACTGACTGGTGCTCAGCCTTCGTCCTCCTGAAATTTAATGTCAGGATTTACATTGTAGTTTGTACCATATTTCCGTATGTGGCCTGATATGGACCAAGCGGGGTATTTGTTTCTCGAGAGTCACGCCGCAGTGAAATCGATTAACTTCATATTGAGCGGCTCGACTAATTTGAATCGGTGGGCGGATGCATTTTGAGTATAGTCAGCCCTAGTTATGCGGTCATATGATATATGAGAACTGGGTGTTATGCAGACATTGAAGATGATTCGTGTATATATATATATATATATATATATATATATACATAAGAAGGGCGGCCGGAGGGTAAGACTGAACACCTGTACGCGGTGTCCTCTACGAACCTGGAAGTGAAATATTCTCCCAGAGCCAAATTCAGTCAAATTTCGCAATATCAAAGAAGATGGCCCACGAGGCAATGATTCAAATTACTCCTCCATGTCAATCTTTCACTCCCAAAGAGTCCGATTCTCAACTAAACTTCATCAAGTCTAAAAGTACGACCTAGTACATCCTCGTTTCAATGACCACACCTCTCGTAGACTTTCTCTGGCCTCAGCCGGTCACCAAATACACGCCCACGCCGATATTTATACCCGACGGAGGAAGCAAAGCGTGATGCACAAATCTGGGAGACTGTTCTTTGGGATGGATGTGAGAGGATCAGGACAGGTTGACAAGATGATGCGAAGGAAGGATATAACCTCGAAGGGCGTGAGATTCCGAATTTTGGCAAGGAGTTTTTACAAATTGAGCTTTATGCGTGCCAAGACTTCGCTTGCGAGAGTGTAGCTGACACTATTAAAACAAGTCGACGATGGAAGGTGTTGTGGTCCACCTCCTGGTGGTGTTCTCTGGTATAGTTTGAGTAGCCTGGGTACCTACTCCACCTGGGAAGGAGACGCCTAAGACAATATTTCGCGCAGAGAAAGCCGCCCTAACTTTGCAGTGGTACTTGCAAATGAAATCAGAGGCATGAGTGCTCTTGCTTTACGTTGAATCATCTTTTCTGTACTTTTCTTTGATATTGTGTCATAGCTAGAAAGCTGCATACGCTATTAAAATATGATACAAAAAAAACATGTCCTCGCTGTCCCCGGTTTGTTAAAGTCGATCAGGATTCCGTCACTGCTTGAAGCTTGGTTGAAGCAGTAAGATAAGATAAGAATTTTATTAAAGTTCCTTCTGAGTCTAAGACTATGAAGGACTTCTGGATCCTACCTATTAAATTCTGGCTACTATTTAAATGTTAAAATGTAGTAATTTAATATTTTCCCATGTTGTTGAGGGTCATGCCCTGATGGTTGGTTGATGCAGTAGCCGGTTATGGTATGTAATAAAATCAGAAACGCCTTGAAAGGAAATCATTTTAAAATGACATTGAAAATGTCATGGCGAGACATTCTGGAACCAGAGTCTAAGCAGAATGCCTGAGGATAAAATTCGCGGAACAGGTTTTTCGGCTCACCCTCGACACTTTTTTTTTTTTTGCATCAGATTTTAATTGCATATGCAGCTATCTAGCTATGACACAATATCAAAGAAAAGTACAGAATAGATGACTCAATTTACTATAGAAGCACTCATGCCTCAGATTTCATTTGCAAGTACCACTGCGAAGTTATGGTGGCTTTTTCTTCACCCCAAGTCAACCCTCATCCGTGAATACCCACCCAGGGGAACGTCTCAAAAACCCTGAGTTATCCAGACATGCCTCCATCATCTTTCAACTTTTCTCCGCGCGATATGTGATCTGAGGTGTCTCCTTCCCAAGTGGAGTAGGTGCCCAGGCTACTCAAACCATACCAGAGAACACCACCAGGAGGCGGACCACAACACCTTCCATCGTTTGCTTGTTTTTATAGTGTCAACTGCACTCTCGCAAGCGAAGTCTTGGCGCGCACAAAGCTTAATTCGTAAAACTCCTTGCCAAAATTCGGAATCTCATGCCCTTCGAGGTTATATCCGTCCTTCGCATCATCTTGTCAACTTGTCCAGATCCCTCTCACATCCATCCCATAGAACTGTCTCCCAGATTTGTGCGCCACGCCTTGCATCCACCGGCGGGTATAAATATCGGCGTGGGCGTGTATTTGGTGACCAGCTGAGGCCAGAGAAGGTCGAAGAGTGGTGTGGTCATTGGAATGAGGATGTACTTGGTCGTACTTGTAGACTCGATGAGACGAAGATAGGGGTCAAACTCGTTAGGAGCGAAATAACGAAGTGGATGAGTAATTTGGATTTTTGCCTCGTGGGCCAACTTCTTTGATATTGCGAAATTTGACTGAACTTGGCTCTGGGAGAATATTTCACTCCCAGGTTCGTAGAGGACACCGCGTACAGGTGTTCAGTCTTGCCCTCCCCCTCAACACTTGCACTTATATGGTGAGACTAGATAATGCGCCAACTGGAATTGATATGGTTGAGGTCACAGTTTGAGTTATGATGGGAAATTACAACAGTCTTAGTTGAATTACGTTAGATAGTTATTTGTACTCAAGGAAGCTGGAGCTACAACAAAGTAGTTCTCCAGCTTCACAATCTTATAATACTATTACCGTATTCCTCTCGCAATCCCGCATCCTTCTAGCCTTAGTAATTCGTTGAGCTTCCATCTCTACAGTATTCATCACTTGACCTTTCCATGCCCTCGGCGAACGGCGATCTCGATCTACCCTACGACACGCCGTAACAGAAAACGTCTGCCATTGATCCACCTTTCCCTGATAAATAATCATTTTACTAGATCAAACTGATGTGTTCTAGAATTGGGTTATATGGAAAACATATCCACATTGTCAAATAGCACACACTCGATGCGGAAGGGATTCCTTGGTCGGATTTCCAATAGGGTATATAGAAAGAAGTAATTTAGCAAACGTATAATTCGTAGAAAACGTAGCTAGATATATAATGATAGAATCTGAGACATCTGGTTTATTTCATCAAGCAGAACATAACCTTTATCTGGGATTATTCACACCAACTCGATAGTTGTATGAGTTTACTGTAGTAACAAGTCATTCTAATATGAATCGCGGAGGGTAAATTTCCAGCTTCTGTTATATCTCTTGGCCCTAGAAGATGGCTTTGTAGGGCCGGGAATTCGAGCTCAAAATTAGTGACCCTATCGTTGAAGATCCAATCTTTTTTTTTGAATTGTATTGTACCATTTTTCCATAATTTTTCTAAACTAGATTAAATCAGAAGTATCTAGCCATAGTGCTTATTGGTCTGTGAAGAGATAGATTTCATGAAGTTAACGGCACCAATTTGTTCAATACAAGACAAGCCTATTGTAGGGATATTCAATTTATGTGGAAACAACGCCTTATAACTCCATCCACGAATTGGTAGCTGGAGTCAACATCTCCATAAATATCCTACTGTGAAACTCTGAAATATGCTAGAAATGAAGAGTACATAATAAGGTTTGATTACTTTCCAAAAATGACACTGACATTTTTTCATGCAGAGTGGTTGTGTGTTTTTCATATGTAGTGAAAAGAGCCGTTGTCTTGCTGTTGTCGAACACATAAAAAATAAGTTACAGAGAATCAAATTTTCAGCGCTTTAATCAAATTGCATTCTGATATCCATGATGGATAATATAAGACTTAACATCTGCTATAGGTAGAGTGCATTGATTAGTAATTTTCGAATTTCGATATATTTAGGGGGCTTCCGTCAAACTCCAACTGGTATATATTGTTCAAGGTGATTCGTTGAATATTACCTGGCAATATTGCACAAAAGACCTAGTAATGGTGAGATCAACAAAAATCTTTCGTATTTCGTTTTAGATAGAGTCACGAATAATACACTCTCTTATACTCATCTTATCGCTAGTATTTGCTTGATTTGGTGCGTCCGGTATGGTTGTATCTGGACATACTTTATCTCGCGACATGACCTTGTCGCCCCAGCCAATACCTTTTGGACCGCCGGCCCACTTGAAAAATCCGAAAATCTCTTCCTGCCCTTTATCTTCTATTCGCAATTGTTGGTCACCCCACTGGCCGTTAAAATAAAGGAATCCCGTTGGTTGAGAAGGTAATGCAGGAGTATAAATACCAGACTCTGCACTTGATGAGTTTGATTCAGGGTTAAGAGAGGGTTGAGTCTTGTTAAATGTATAAAAAAGCGCTGACAGGGTAGGGTCCCATATTCTGCCACGGGAGGTGTAGTCAAATGCTAGGTGGGACGGAATTCTTGCATCTATAACATCTAAGTTAACCAGACGTTCAAGGTGGCCGGCTAGTATTAAAGAGAGAAAAAGTTATCTAGATTAGACTTACCAATCCCGTGGAAGTCATGAGCCATGGCCTCTGGCCAATTTGAATGCGAACCACGGGCGCTAAAAGCCACAGGTCTGTTGCCAATTTTTTGCACCGCATCAAAGGTATAAGCAGCACCAAATCCGTGCTGTGAATACCATATAGCTGTCGGAATTCCGTCTGTAAAACGTATCATGTTGTGTTCCCTGTTATATGGAGATATTGTTAGGAGCCCGCATATACTGTAAATCTGGAGAAAGATTGACTCAGAGGTATTAGGATATGTTAAAAAGTGTACAAAAAACGTTTTAGTAAGAAGAGAAAGAAAGTGTTGTAGTATCTGAAGAAATTTGAAAGAAGGGTGTGCTTTATGAGAACATACCAGTCACCTATGTGATTTCCGACTTGGCGACCTAGTCCTCTAGGTCCGTCGTTAAAGCTGTAGAAGTAAAGGTAGAAAACGTCGACTACATTGAGATCTTTATTTAACGTTTCATTCCTCTCTAACTCTTTTTCGACGACTACTATCACACAATTTGTTGCATTATCGGTACGGAGACTGTTTTCTTCTGGTTTTTGGCCACGTAGCCAGACTGGTAAGGATACAATTGGTTCGCGTGAACTGAGGTAGACATCTCCGCCATTAAAATTGTTTAGCTGGTCTAGATTGGAGAGATTGAGAGGATAAGAGGTGTCCGGGGTAGGCGTAAAATTGAGAGTTGGATGAGTATTTTGAATATGTACCGAGAGGTCACTAGGAAAGTACGTTTCCTCTCTGTCTAGAATAACTATTGGAGCTGCAAGCAGCGTCAGTAAGGAATCAGATTACTGATGAAATATTGGCCATACCGTACGTGAGCGCAAATGGTGGAATAGTTGTATTCGCAAGCTGTTCAAATACCTGTTGAGCCAGCTCAATAGATTCATCAGGAAGGCGCTCTGGAAGGGTGTTGTCTTCACTGTTGACGAAGGTCATCAGCACCAAGGTAACGACTAGAGCAATAGCAATCATTATTATAATCTAATCTTATCGTGGTTAGTGACGAGCATAATCTGCGATACTTATGAAAATATGGTTGTCCTATTATTACCCATTGCGAGTAACACGTACCTTGAACCTTTCCACAGTCCTCCATAGATAGTCGCGTTGCCTAGTGAGAACACGGGCCGCATAATGCTTTAGTCTGCTGTTCGGGGCTCGCGTGGCACCCCCCTCGTCAGGCAGAAAAGCAACGTCCTCTAGGTCGTCAATCCGTATTTGCTCTAACATTATCTCGTCTTCTTCAGCATCTTCAGAATCCCATGGCATTCTCGAGCTCCCACGTTCATAGGGGTTGGCAAGTCATGTTGTTGGTCGATAAATTCGATTCTTACTTTTGCGATTACTTCAGCCTGATCTCAACGGCAAGAAGTTTTCAGTGATGCAATACTGGTTGAAAATATTGGTAGAAATGGCACCAGGCCGAATTGTAAAAGTATAGAAAATACGAAAATACAAAGAAATGAGAATTAAAAGACAACTACAAAATTGATGTAAAATAAGTCTGAAGATGATGCGCATGTGTTCGACACTATCTGTCCAAGCCCCGAAACATCAAGTGTCGAACCCCTGTTTGCGGCTGACTTAAGTTGTTCCCTTGAAAGCCACGGGTACCTCTGCTCTGAATTAGAGTGTAGGATACATGATGTTCGCATTGCATTATTTGGAGCAGATCGTCAGGGTGAAGGGTGCAATTGTGGCAGTTTCATGTCAATCAATAAATGTCAAAGACTTGGCTAGCCACTTATGGTAAAGTTTATGCCGGCACACGGATGCTTAAATGGTCCGTATGGGAATTAAGGAAATCATTAATTAATTACTATATGGCTTGCCATTTCACCAATGCTCGCTGTAAATACCATCCAGGACATTTTGAACTCCCCATCCCAATCATCTCACAGGGTTAGACGGCTCCACGATCCAAAGAATTTATTTCGTTTCCTAGTTTCTTTATCATTAATTAGCTGTTGATCTTCAATGAATAAAACCTTCCCGTTCTCGTCGGTGTCTTGCGCAGCCCAACAGTTCGTTCTCCATGCAAACCGAATTAGGTTAAGTTGCCATTTGTTTCTGTGTATTAAGGCGATTTGCTTGGGCAATTCGGAGTAAAGCAGTTCGGAGAAAAATCTAATGCCAAAATGCCGTCGATTGGCGTCATATACTTTCTGATCTTTCATAACTTCAATGACCGAATCTTTAATGTGTCCCTCACCAAGCCTGTCTATTGTGTTCCATTCACGCACAAGCCACCGGCTAACTTTCAGTACTAGTTCTGCTTCCTTAGGCTGATATCTTTCAAAGAATATTCGCTTCTGAATCTCTAGCTTATCACCTGTAGTTTCTGCCGTTGGATGAGGTGACATTTGGAATAGTTGGCAGTAGAGCTCGAGCTGAAAAAAAGCTCTATAAACAGGTATGAACTCCATATGTGGATCTTCCTCCAGGCGAATGTTATAGTAACTACGAGCAAGACTGTTGGCATCTTTCTGGAGGTGCCGCAAAATAAACACATCCTTCCACTTGTACGCATCACTCCAAGACAAATACGCCTTTCGCCAATTTGAAAAATCATTCAATTGAACAAGCGATGGAACACGTTTTTCTTTATATTTTAATTGTTTCTTGATCCTAGTAAAAACTACCTCTGCATTTCTACAGTAGAATTTGATGAACATCTTGGTGCACAATTGACGATAGCAATTCTTATCCAGTAGTCGCCTGTAGTCTATCAATGCTAAAACGTCACGTAGTAGATCTAACTCTCTGGTATCGTCAAAAATTTCCTTCAGTATATGCTTGTGCTCGATGTTGACAAAGTGGCATTGTAACCAATCATCTACTAGATTTGCTGTTCTAGGATCAGAAAAATATTGTTCACCTAGTTTAAGCTCGCCCCCAGAAACAATTTTGCTGGGATAATATTTGGGTGCTCGTTTTTGTAGTGGTGTTACTGGGATACCTTGTGGGGAAAATGTGAAGAATTTGCCGAATCCATTAGGACTCATGAGGCACGAAGTGCCTGGAAGCTCGGGCCATGGCAATCGATACGCAAAATCTCTCCATATACTAGCTTCATGTTCTATGATACCAGTATTTCGTGCGCTAGTAGGTATATCACCAACATATTTGTCTGCAAAGGAGGTTTGGATCCTCATAGGCATGAGTCTTGAACTTCTCTTCTTTATTCCCTGGCTAACCGCCCCGGTATAATATGATCTCAAGCTAGGCTGAATCAAGGCAGGATCCTGGCACTCGGTACTTCGAGTTGAACGGGGTTTCAACATGAGATCAGGAGAGTCTAGGAGACTATGGTCAATTGAGACGAATTTCGTGATTCTAGCGACATTAGGGTCAAAATTTTTGTCAGAACTTGGCTGATTGACTTCATATGCCCGCATTTTACCTTTGCCACTTATTTGATTTGGGATTGAGGTTATCATATCGCAGAGCTGGTCATCGTTTGTGACAAAAGTAGCTTTTGCTGCTGAGGAACTTTCGGGTTGGGATAGTGAGTGCAACGCGCTCGGTCTAGTCGGCTCTCCTCGGCCTTTACTGGTTTCAACTGCGCCAGCTGAGGAGCTCACATAAACTTCCGGTATTTGCATAGGATCGACGATGTCAGCTGGGCTGTGTATTATTTTCCGACTTGAACTTCTCCTCACAAATTTATGTTCTCGCGTCAATATACTGCTATCTGAGCTCTTCGAACAGTCGGAGCTGTTCGAATCCAGCATATTTTTTTGAGGAATATGCTCCATTTTTGATTCACTAGGCTTCTGATAATTTGTAAATATGTGGAGCGATTCAAGTGACAAGTTGCCCGATGGGTATTATTTTTTAAGAAACGAATGATATAAGTGCAGCAAGTTGTTTAATCAAGCAATGTGATAAGATATTAAAATTAAAATAAAAATCTATTAAGATGTACTTTTCATAAGTCTAATGTCCAGCAAGTCAGAAAAGTCAAGTCAAGTTGTTGACAAGCCGCACCTTCCTAAAAGATTAGAAACCTCGAAGCTACCTTTTAAAATTTTAATATACTTGCGGGGTAATAATAGCATGAGATGTATTATTTACTATAGCTTCTCTTTATCCATATCAAAATATTTTGGACAGAAAATTGAATTGATCTAGTCAAAAAATAAGTCCAGTGAAAGTATTATAAATCCTAACTAACATGGAGACTAGAAACATTATCTTATTTATGGCGATTTGAGTTTGTCGAATGGGGCTCGTAAATTTGGGAATTGAGGAAGATGATAGATTCTACATGTTTATAAACTATGGTTCTCATTTCACATCACTTAACATAGGATAAGGTTCTCGAAAAATAATATTGAGCTTTCTGTTAGGACATAAGAAATTTAAAAAGCTGAATATCTTTAAGCAATTCAAGGATTATTTTTTATATCATATACTATGTTTACAGATATAGAGCTATGATATCTGATCTCTTCTTTGTGCACGTAGGATAATTTTTATGGCTTCAGAGACACTCAAACTTTAGATTTTATTTCCATACACAAATGTGAGGTAGGTTTGCAAACGCAAAACAGTCATTCCTCCTTCGTGAGTACCCACAAACGAGGAATTTTGAGAAATTTTGGTTAACAATGTATTCCATCTTTATCCATGCACACCAGCGCTGCGAGAGAGTGTGGTGTGTGGGGTTTACTGGATTCGAACCAGCTTTCTCCTGTCTCGATGGATTGGACCAAGTTCTCCCCGAATGTTACGAAGAAGGGGGATATAGATAAATATGCGCACACATGTGGTCCCGGTGTCTAGGCTTCGCTTGCCTGGGGCTGCAGGTTTCTTGAGACTTTTTCCCGCGGACGCAGTCTCCATTGCTACCATTTTTTTTTTTTTTTGAGTGGAAGGTTCCGTGGAAAAGGTGGCTGAATTCCATGGGTAAACACTGAGTTGAATGGCTATTCATCAAGGGGAATATATCAATGATCTTTCAAGTAACAAAAGAGGCAAAGAGCACTGTACAAGGTGTGGCCTGGGTCAGAGAGGAGCCCAATGTGCTAAATAGTCATAGACTCATGTAGTACAATAAAAAACACACAAACACGCCGATATATAAACCCGCAGAAGAAAGCTAAGCGGGGCGCACAAACCTGTGATAGTCACAGTTAGATTATGATCTGAATTAATGTTCTAGCTTGGATTGAGCTTGATCAGTTCGGGATTGATGTCAGTGCTAGATCTCTTTTTTAATCGTATTGTATTCAGCTAGCTAGCTATGACAGGGAGTGCTAAATCTCGTGTTAGTGTCAAACTCGAAGGTGCAAAAAATAGTATTGGAAGGACCACTGTGAAGTGAGGGTTACATCAAACAATGTCCGTGTTGCGAAATTGTGTGAATCTATAATTTTATTTATAACTATGTGTGACGCACGTGCCACATTCCTCACGCTGAAGAGATGTAACTGTATTTATTTACTTTTTAAGTCCTAGGCCGTAACCTTCAATCTATTTAGATGTAGGACCGGTGGAGCCGGCCGAGATTTAATTTTTAGGCTTGCCCTACTCGTTCACGCCCATTTTAGAGTTGATAAATCATGAGCTCTTTAAAAAAATAATGTAGTGAAGAAAAAGAAAAGAAACAAACAAAAGAAATGATCAATGGTTTTGAGTCAGCATTCCTCATACTGAACTCTCCTCCGCCGGCGTATTTGCCCTGGCATTTATCCTGAAACCCGTCCTTGTATTCAGCCCAGAACTAGGATACGTCCAGCCAACCGAAGCAGCCTGTAACGCATGCAAAAATTTAAACTTCTCTAATTATTGTGGTTATGAGCTTAGATTAGTGTCACTATGCATGGTGACCTTGTACGAGTATGTAGATTGATGAGTTCAGGTTGTGGTTGAAGGTGTATCTGAGGTTCACTGTATTTTAATTGTACAATGCTAACCGTGAGCCGAGCACTCGCTACTTATACTCATGTGTGGCCGCTAGTCGGCTCCTGACCACATGAGCTTCCTCCTGCAGATATCCCAAACGATACAGGAACTACACAAACAGCGTAAACATCTAATCACGTTATGTACATGCAAGTATCCTAGCTGTATAACATGCCCATCACAACACTAATCCTTATGTCCGAGGAGTTGCCTAGTAAAAGCATCTAAGCTCATGTCTTTTCTAAGTTTACGCGTCAGAATATTGTATCTCCGACAGCGTGTAAAGTTGGTGGATGTCTTTTCAAGCCCACAGCTACTAACCAGGTTTGCATCTTCGTGCTTGAAGCGACGGTGATACGCCGCAAAATCCCCATGCCCTGTTCTCGCAGCAATGAGTTCGTGTGGTGATTTCCGTGGCAACGATAGTTCTAGGGGTTTACGTCGTCGCATTTGCAGGTCCAAGTCTTGGTATCGAGCTGGAAAAGCAGTTGACAACCATTTGTCTATCAATTCTTGTCGTCGCTTTTGCATAAGACGTCGAAGGTAAGCAAGACTGATATAGCTAGGTTGTTTCTGGCTGTCCGGAAGTAATTTTGGTGCGGCCCGAGCTTCTTTGTCTGCCTCCACGTTCCCCTCTATGTTCGAGTGTTCTGGGACCCATCTGATTTCTGCGTTGGATCTTTGCACAGCATCATGAAAGATGCGAATTAAGCGGCAGGTAGAGGACAAATTTCCGGTCCGCAATGCTCTAACAGCTGCTAGGTTGTGGAGTAGCACGGTTATCTTTTCCTCCCCTTGTCTCGAAATGATAGCGGCTAGCAGCGCGCCTATTGCTCCGACAACCTCGCCGTCGAAAGTTTCGCATCCATGAAGCAACCCCCGTTTCTTCTTGAAGGTAATTCCTCATGTTTGAAGCACATAGCCCCATGCTGATTGACCATGATCCTCTGAGGACTTATCTGAAAAAGCACAAATCTCAGATGGGGGGACCGTCCTAATCCATTCTTGATAATCCTCCACTCCTTCCAACGTTGATCCTGGATCTCTCCAATATACTGGCCCAGGAACTGGTTCAGCATCCTCCGCTTGAGATAGTTGGCAGACATGTAACTGTATTTAGACAGCTTTACCACAATGCCAACTGGCCTAAAAAGGAAAGGAGTGAGTTGTGTGGATCTGATACCTATCTTACCATACGTGGTAGATTTGTAAGCTCATACAGAGCGTCACATCATGTGTAATGGATATGGACCATATTCTACGTGACTGACAATTAAATAATACAGTTGGAGGACGAAGGCTGAACACCAGTCAGTGGTGCCCTCCACAAACCTGGGAGTGAAATATTCTCCCAGAGCCGAGATTCAGTCACGAATTAGGGTGGGAAGAATTTTATTTGATGAATTGTCGGCTTGAAGGAGTTGTACTCGATAATTTGGCCGAAAAATCAGTCACAATGATTTCACCACCGCAAGAAAGGCAAACAAAATCTCATTACCACCAAAATACGATTCACGAACAGGCCTAGGTCTGTCTGGAGCTCGTATTCAAACAAATTACTTCTCTAAAACTCCTTTCATATTTGCGACGAAGCATTTCTCAGTCAGGTCTTCACCTGCGACCCATCTTTATACTCGTCATGTCACCTACCTACACACGCCCTAATGAGGAAAGTCATGATGAGAACAGAACGTGTATAAAGGATGAAGAAAAGGGAAGATACACCGAGGGGATTACACAAATTCCCAATGACGACAACAACCCGACGGTACGATATGAAGGTGCAAGGCTAGAGCAACAATGAGATCTTGGACTACATTTATATTTCGGAGTCAATGAGGATGTCAAGGGTTCGAGCGCGTGGTGGCCGAGGCTGAGGAGGAATTCACGCTACTATGGGGTATGCAGCGGGTTTCTGGACGGTCAGACTTGGTGTGATTCAACACATAGGTGAAGTCTGAGGTGGTCTGGTCATTTAGGTGGGACGAGGTATATCTGTTCTTCACGGTAGTTAACCTGATCCGGCTCGGCCCAACTCTTGCTTAAGCTCCAGTAGGAGTGTTATGGTTGTCGGTAAATGGATCATATTTGGGCAGTATGAATTGTTCTATCTTATTGCAGTTTTCAGGTTGTCGTTAGGACACTGACAGGGATCTGACTTAGCTCATTAGCGAGGCGCTTGGAGTAGAGGAAGAAAGGGGAGATGGAGACAGGAATAAGAGAGATAACGTTTTATGTATTTCGAGATACCAGTTAACTAACTTTATTCACCGACTTCGTGACGGAAACCAATTTGTATTACTTCCTGTTTTATCACCAATGGTAGTCACTTAATCGAGCACTTTAATGAACAAAAAAAATTATACAATTATTGTTGGTTCTACTCAGGTAGGAGCCGGCAAAGACGAATTCTTCATCTTCCAGTGGTGCCGGTGTAATCGCTCAGTATGCTCTGCATATCTGGGATAGCCAAGAAGAATTGCATCCGAATCAAAGTCGAAAGCAAACACATGCATATCTCCATTTGACGACTTCTCAATCATGCAGCAGTCTCCATTATCTTCTGAGTCCTCAACCCCGATCTAAACACATATCATCTCGCCTCGCCGACCGATAAAGCCGTCACCCCAAATGCAAACAGGAGCTTGCCCCATTTATCACCGGCCATCACTCACTGCAAATTTACGACGCTACTCATACCCGCAAGGAGGAAATTAAATCATAATATACAAAGCTGAGGTCTTGGCTTGTGGGGTACTGGTGCTCTAATGGGGTTATACATCTTGAGGAAGGACAGGCGGCTGAGATGTGGAGCAAGAGAGGGAACAGGTCTTTGAAGGCCATTCTG